AGTCAAGTATCCCATTAAAACGACAAAGGGCGTACTTATAGGGCAATTTCTTATATACGTTTTAGACCCAAAAAAAAGCGATGAATTTAGCGATGTTCGTCCGTCTGTGGTAATCAGCTTTCGAACGAAATGAAGTAGGTTGATAAAATTTTACTCAAATGTCTAAAATTTTACTCAATATGTCTGCAGGAATTTTGGTACTGAAAATGGGTCATGTAGGTCCACGTTTTGGTATAGCCATATAATAGTACCTCCCCTTTTTTGGTATTTTGGAGATTCAAGCGACATTACTTACCGGAAATGTTTCAAATTTGGTATTTGAAGTTCATAATGGATACTACAGCACAAGACAGAAAATGGGTCATGTAGGTTCACGTCTTCGTATAGCCCCCATATAACAGTACATCCATATATTCGGGATTTTGATGATTTAACTACATTTTTCACTGTATTTTTTTAAGTTTCGAATATTCTAGTGGCTTATAACAAAAGTTGCCCATGCAGGTCCACGTCGTCCTATAGACCCTAATATAACGGCTACAATCGGTATTTTTAAAATTTTAACCAAATGTTTAACGGATTATTATTATTATTATTATTATTTTTTTTTTTTTTTTGAAAATTGCCAACCTTATTCCAATGGTGGAGGGTATTCAAAGATCGGTCCGGCCGAACTTACAGCTTTTTTACTTGCTTTTAAAATAAGCTGAAGAAATTGCGTTCGGATGAACTGCGGAAATCCATGGACTGACGGTCTTAACCAAAAACACAATTTATTCCTAAATATTCTCACAACCGCGGACAAAATAGATTTGTTATTAGCAGTTTTATTTTTGTAAAGAACAAACATGTGAACTAATTTATATTAAAGGGTGATTTTTTTGAGGTTAGGATTTTCATGCATTAGTATTTGACAGATCACGTGGAATTTCAGACATGGTGTCAAAGAGAAAGATGCTCAGTATGCTTTGACATTTCATCATGAATAGACTTACTAACGAGCAACGCTTGCAAATCATTGAATTTTATTACCAAAATCAGTGTTCGGTTCGAAATGTGTTTTTATCGACAAATTTTGTTCAGCGATGAGGCTCATTTCTGGTTGAATGGCTACGTAAATAAGCAAAATTGCCGCATTTAGAGTGAAGAGCAATCAGAAGCCGTTCAAGAACTGCCCATGCATCCCGAAAAATGCACTGTTTGGTGTGGTTTGTACGCTGGTGGAATCATTGGACCGTATTTTTTCAAAGATGCTGTTGGACGCAACGTTACGGTGAATGGCGATCGCTATCGTTCGATGCTAACAAACTTTTTGTTGCCAAAAATGGAAGAACTGAACTTGGTTGACATGTGGTTTCAACAAGATGGCGCTACATGCCACACAGCTCGCGATTCTATGGCCATTTTGAGGGAAAACTTCGGAGAACAATTCATCTCAAGAAATGGACCGGTAAGTTGGCCACCAAGATCATGCGATTTGACGCCTTTAGACTATTTTTTGTAGGGCTACGTCAAGTCTAAAGTCTACAGAAATAAGCCAGCAACTATTCCAGCTTTGGAAGACAACATTTCCGAAGAAATTGGGGCTATTCCGGCCGAAATGCTCGAAAAAGTTGCCCAAAATTGGACTTTCCGAATGGACCACCTAAGACGCAGCCGCGGTCAACATTTAAATGAAATTATCTTCAAAAAGTTAATGTCATGGACCAATCTAACGTTTCAAATAAAGAACCGATGAGATTTTGCAAATTTTATGCGTTTTTTTTTTTTAAAAAAAGTTATCAAGCTCATAACAAATCACTCTTTATATTCAAATTTTAAAAGCGCTTAGAATTCCCTTTAGAAATATGGAGGTGACAAGTGTAGAACACCAGCCTCGAAATTTGTCATTAACTAGTAGATCTCAACAATGTTCGTTCTCTGAGCCTTATCCCCAGCTAGGATCCTGAAAAATATTTTAAAAGAATATAATGATTCATGGAAATTGACACTTCTGTTGCTTTATACCAGATTAATGTTTTTTTTTTTTTAATATATATGTATATTAGCTTTACTTTTTTGTAATAATCGTCTTAATCCGGGAAGTTAAATTGCAGTCGATAACTATAAAATACGTTTTTCTCAAAACAGCATTTATTGGTAATGTATTTCATTAAATCTGTTCTTCATACTTGTTACTGGCTTAAATTGGTTTCATTGGACTCAGATTATACCATCAGCCGTATGACTACAACAGAGATATATATATATATATATATATATATATATATATATATATATATATATATATGTATATATATATATATATATATATATATATATATATATATATATATATATATGTGTGTGTGAACAGAAATATATATATATACATATATATATATATATATATATATATATATATATGTGTGTGTGTGAACAGAAATATATATATATATATATATATATATATATATATATATATATATATATATATATATATATATATATATATATATATATATATATATATATATATGTGTGTGTGTGTGTGTGTGTGTGTGTGTGTGTGTGTGTGTGTGTGTGTGTAATATGAATATATATGTCCAAAATGTGAATGCGATACATTTCAAATGATGCATTGTAAAATTTTTATCAAACTTAGATCAACTTCGGAGACGGACAATATCGATCTACTCTTTCTGCTACCTGCCCAAAAAAGTTCAAAATTTTGTGAACAAAAAATTCATATTGAACGAAGGGAGCACACGAACTTGGCACATCTTAATATTTTGATCAGACATGGGTCAGGATTGAAAATGTACAATATCGGTCGACCTATTCCGCAAAAAAAGACAAATTTGAAGACATCAAATATGTGAAATCGGACATTGATTCTATTCAAACTTAGGACATCTCAATATATGAAAATATAAAAATATATTAAAATATTTTGATCTATAAAAGAGGAAAATGTTTGTTTGTTTGCAAAACCGCAGATGTTCCTGAAAATTCCAAGCAAACTACAACAATGCATACAATTTTTGAAAATCTTCTTGAAACATCCTAAAAAAATTAGATTTTATATGCACATATCTATTGATCGATTACAGATATAGTCTCCCATATATATTTTCGACCAATTTGAACATAGTTCCTAAATAAATTTTGCGCCAGATTCCGTGTATTTTATGCACCAAATACGCTATATGTGTCAAATTTCAATGAAGTTTGGAATGTGTGACAGAATTTGGCTAACAGTAAACAAAACTACACAACAACTTAATTGAGGTTACGATTGTTACGGGGAAGTATGTAATCTATCTCTTCGTGCATATCCTAAAGCATTGCAACAAATACGTTTTTTTAATTCTTGGATTTGTTTAATTTTTTTTTAAACCACAAAATATTTGTATATAACATTTTGAATGCATATAAAAGCAAAAGTGGTACCGAAGCGCAGCTGGTATAATATATCGGTCCACCCTTTCCTTACCGCCAAAGTTAGATAAGACATAGGTCAGGATCGAAAATGATCAACAGCACAGAATATTGCATAATAATAACTCTCCTAAACTGAAAAGTCAATGTCTACATTTCCTTCCAATTTTTTACATCTCAATTTTTTTTATCTATATTGGGGTTAGTTTAAAAATCGAAACATCGGTCCACTCTTGCAAGTGTGAAACGAATCGAGTACCAACTAGTCCGAACTTGGTCCGAAGTTATACTTATATTTAACTTAAGTCTGAAGCAATCATGGAAATGTTAAACCACTGTTTCTCGTACAACCCTCAAAATGCACAAATCGGGGAAAAAACAGCTTTAGTAAAATGAGAAATCAGTTTGCGATTTTCTTCAAACTTCGGATGGGTCAATTGGACAGCAATATATTTCGCAATCAATTATTCCCCAGCTGTCTACACACTTGTCATATTTTAATATTATATCTTTACATCAGATCCATATGTACGTTCAATACCGAGAGTATACATCTGTCGTAACACCAAACGAAAATTTTTTTATTATTTTTTTATACTTCGAGGAAAGCTCCTAATAGATTTTCAAATTAATTATAATCCCATGTACAGAATTTGGAACATTTGTTTTAAAATAAGTATCAATTTCAACAAGAAGTTTAAGTATTGTTTAATTTAGTTTTTGAGAACTTTAGTTGCAAATCATGAAAACGTGTAAATGAAATCACGTTTAAGAATAAATTTTACAAAAAACAGAAATTATAACTTCTAATTTCCTTCCTGATTTCTGGAAGGTTTGTAAACTTTTTTGTTAGCGTGAATCTACTGTATTTCTAATTTATAAATCAACAGCATAATAATCGCATCGGTTCATATTGAAAGCAATTAGACTTGTTTTTTTAATTTCTTTATTTGTCGATTCAAAATCGTTTTGAAAAGTGCTATTTTAATTAGAATGGCCAACATAATATTTGTTTGTTTATGTGGATTTATAAAATACTTTAGAACAGGTGTTCTCTAAACAAAATCGAGAACAAAATCTGCTTTTTTAAACAAATACATTTGGAATTGCCAATTTCTATGGTGACTAATCCCATGCCCTTCCACACAAAATCACTCACTCTTGGTATTGACAGAGTACACGGAATGATACCTGGGAAAAATACCAAGCTATAAATAATATTCATTCGAGGTACACAAAGTAATCATAAAATTTGTTTGATTATTACGTTTTTATTTTTATATTTTCATTAAACACTGCCGGGCCACAAACAGTCCATTAGCAGGAAGTCCTTTTTAGCTATTAATTCATGGCACAGCACTTAAACCGTTTTCGTTATTTTTTTATTCCATTTATTTTTTATTATTCCGTTTTTTTTTTAATAAATGTGCATTCGAGAGGATTGACTGTGTGTGTGTTTTTAAATGTTTGCTCTGTATAACAGGATAATGACAGCGGAGAATTATGTTTTGCGCGAGTATTTAACAAACAAACAAAAAAAGCGAAAACTGTGAAAGGTTTTATGTTCACTGAAAACTTACCACAAAACTCAATGTAAACGGAATGGGAGAAAATTAAATGCCAACAGTTTTATGGTTTTTCGACAACTCCCAAATGATGTCAACGTGAGATGCAATAAAAATTTGTTCATTCATCAATTCGAGGAGGCGAAGGGTTTAATCCTTTAACAACACTCAAGTGAATTAATCCCTTTTCGCCAAGATTATAATAAACAGACACAGACACGCATTTAAACACTCTCCAATGCTTGGTAGATTGCTCTATTAAATTTTATAATTATTTCTTGGGATGGCAAAAGTTTTATCACATTATTAATTCATTACACTTTCACACTATATAATTGAATTTCATATGCCACATGGAAAAGATTATTTTTAATTAATAAATTTATGTGTTGTATTAACTTTTCAACACACAAAGTTGACACTTTCAATTATAACTTATTTTAGATTTTTAATATAATTTATTTTACTATTCAAATTTCAAATATTTCCGTTCGTCTTTGAAATCTTTTAACGAACATAAAACATCCGCACATTCGCCCATCTAAAGACGCACTAAATTTTCTTCTAAGGAGAATTTTCAAAAGTCCGTACACGAACGACTGCCGGTCGAAAGTTCTGCCACGAAAGACGAGTAAGAATGTTCTAATTCGATTTTCATTGTTTTGATTCTATTTAGTATTGGAGCCATGCCGAATTTCCGTTCGGCAACATTTTCCCAACATCTTTGGGGCGAAATGTTGCATCAACATGAAAATTGAAGTAGTTTCGTCTACGGCGCATGTCGATGATTTTGGCGCGCTTTATGTCATATCCCTGGAAACATGAACGGAAACAAGGTCAAGTCCAATATTGTTTACGTTTCTGACTGTGCCGGTTGCCAAATGCAACAACATCTCAATTGTGAATGATTTATTAATACAAAGGGAAGATAGTCGCATACACAAAACTTTAACTGTCGACAGATTTGTAAGAGCCTAATTTGTATACCCTCCACCATAGTTTGGAGGGTACATTAAGTTGGTCATTCCGTTTGTAACAACTCGAAATATACATTTCAGCCCCCACAAAGTATATATATTCTTGATCAGCATAAGATTCTATGTCGATTTAGCGATGTCCTCCGTCTACCCCACTCTGGCTTCCGAACGTAATGAAGTAGATTGATAAAATTTTACTCAAATATATATTATGTAGGTAGGACTTTTGGTATTGAAAATGGACCATGTAGGTCCACGTAATGGGTTTTGACTTACAAATACCAATTTTTAGACAAATACGTAAAAAAAAATATGGCAAAATTTATCAAAACACGAAATATTGGGAGGTACCGTTATGTAAGGCCGTTACGAAAACGTAGAATTATACATAAAATGTTCAGCCACCGGAGCTTGAACCCATTACGACCTACAAATACCAATTTTTAGAACACATTTTGACCCACAACACCAATTTTTAGACCAAATATCGGAAGGTGCTGTATGAAAACGTGGACCCATTTATCTCATTTTCAACACCAACTATCCTAGACATAATACAAATTGTTCAAATAATGTGGGCAGTATAATTTTGGAATTTCAACAGACATTGTGGTTTTACATTCTGTGAGAGAACATTCCCTATATTAGACTACGCTTTTTTATAGCCCTCATATAACAGTATCTCTCTATATTCAGTACTTGGAAAATTAAAATCACATTTCAAATGTTTTCTTATTCCCCCATGTAACTGTACTACCCGATATTCGGTATACAAGATGATATAAAAAACTACAATCAACTTCAGACTGCTGTCATTTCTAAGGCACTCGTCCGACTGCTGTTAGAATTTTTTCAGTGCTAGCTCATTATATTGTTTACAAGCGTACAAAAGCATTTTGGTGAGAATTTTCCAGAAAAAAAGTTATTCGTTATGGAATTTAAGCGTGATATTGTGATTTTTTTATATTTGGCTGGAAATCCACAAGCTTCTATCGTTATAGAACTTCAGCATTTAAATATGAATAAATCTTTTGTGTCTCGTACCATCGCTCCTTATCGTGATACTGGTAGCGTAGCCCGACTCCAAGGAAGTGGACGGAAGCCATCAGCAACATCAGCAGAAATTGTTCAAAAAGTAAATAAGCGACTTGATCAAAACCCGCGTCGCTGAGGCCGAAAAATGGCTCGTGATCTGAACACATCGCAATATTCCATTCGGCAAATATTGAAAATTGAGCTCGGGGCAAAGCCACTGAAATTCCAAAAAGTGCAAGAACTTACACCTCAACAGAAAGAAAATAAACTCAAAAGAGATAAAGATTTGCTTCGCTTGGCCGAAAGTGGTGAACTGCCACGGTTTTCACCGATGAGAAAACATTCGTTGTCAAGCAGTTTGTAAACAACCAAAATGATCGTGTTTACTTGCAATAGAGGTCAGCTGAGAATATGCACCTTCGGTTGGCCAACAGAACTCAAGCATTGGCCATGGTGATGGTGTGGGTCACCATAATAGACGATGGTCGCTCTCCTCTCATATTAATCGACCGTGGCATCAGAATAAATGCCGAATATTATCGCGATTCTGGAGGGTGTATTAAAGCCTTGGGCACGCAAACATTTTGGCCGCAGATCTTGGACATTCCAACAGGACTCAGCACCATCGCACTCAGCATGCACCACTCAAGAATGGTTACAAAATCAGGTTCCTCGTTTCATTTCCAGTACACAACGGAGTATTTTGGAAAGCAAGGTTGGCACTAAAAAATACCAAAGTGACAATTACCTCAAGCAAGCGCTACGCCGGGAATGGGCCAAAATACCGCAGAGCAACCTTCGGGCAGCGAGTGACGGTTTCATTAGCCGTTGGAAGACCATAATGCGTGCTAAAGGTGAACAAATCTAAATCCATTCTAAAATTTGATGCTATTTCCGACATTTTTATACCCTCTACCATACTATGGAGGGTATATTAACTTTGTCATTCCGTTTTTAACTCCTCGAAATACTCATGTCAGGCCCAACAAAGTATATATATTCTTGATCAGCGTAAAGTTCTTAGTCGATTTAGCGATGTCCATCTGTCTGTCTGTTGTAATCACGCTATCTTTCGAATAATTTGAGATAGATGGCAAAAATTTTGCACACATGTTTATTTTTCCAGTAGGCGGGTTAAGTTCGTAAATGGTCCATGTAGGTCCACGTTTTCATATAGCCCCCATATAACGGTACCTCTCGATATTCGGTATTTTGATGATTTTAGCGACACTATTCACCGGAATTGTCTCAAATTTGGTATTTAAAGTTCGAATGGATACTACACCTTAAGACAGAAAATTGTCTGTGCAGGTTCACGTCTTCGTATAGCCCCCATATAACGGTACCTCCCAATATTCGGTATTTTCATGATTTTAGCGAGATTATTCACCAGAATTGTTTCAAATTACGTATTAAGAGTTCGTTATGGGAACTACAATCTGTGAAAGAAAATTGTCTATGCAGGTCCAGGTCTTCGTATAGGCCCCATATATCCGTACCCCCTATACGCGGTATTTTGACGATTTTAGGTACAATACCCAACGAAATTGTTTGCGATGTGGCATTTGAAGTTCGTAATGGATGCTACTGACTGTGACAGAAAATTGTCTATACAGGTCCACGTCTTCGCTCCGATATAACGGTACCTCCCTATATACGATATTTTGATTATTTTAGCTACCGTTTATTTCAAGTTTCGAATTTGAATATGGTAATGGCTTATGACAAACAATGCCTATGTAGGCCCACGTCGTATAGTCCCCAATATAACGTCTATATTTGGTATTTTTAATTTTAACAGAATGTTTTAATGATTTTATTTTTTGAAATTTTTCAAATTCGTTCCAAATGCTGGAGGGTATTCAAAGTTCGGCCCGGCCGAACTTACTGTTTTTTAACGAGTTTGCTTTTATTCAATATCTGATATCTGGTGTTAAGATCTGGTGGTGGTTTTTCAAATGCGTACTATAATTGTTCGAAAAGTGCTTGATGATACTAATCTTGGATCACAGGATGGAGAAATAAAGATTGTTTTGGATAAGTGTACAAAATTTCACTAGATTTGGTATTGGGGTAAGAGATAAAGCTGAAATTGTGAAATTTTCTTCTGGTTTTTCGTTTGGCTTGAGGATTTCTAAGGTTACATATGGAGACGTTGAAATAGTTTTGGAGCGAAAAATAGTATGTGGGTCCAGTGTGCAATGGTTACTAACATCCCGTTCAACTGACTTCAAAATTAATGATTTTGAAGACTTTCAGCTGTAAAAGGTAAACATTTTCCTATTATTCTTTTCGAAAAATTGTCAGTCAATTTCATTGCAAAGTGGCTAAAATCATCAATATACCGAATATCGGGGGTGACGTTATGTGGGGGCTATACGATATCTTGGACCGATATAGCCCATCTTCGAACTTGACCCAGACAAATTACGAACTTCAAATACCAAAAAAAACTTCAAATACAAAAAAAAAAAATTCCGATGAATAATGTCGCTAAAACCACCAAAATACCTAATATAGGGAGGTACCGTTATATGGGGGCTATACGAAGACGTGGACCTGCATAGGCAATTTTCTATCATAGGCTGTAGTATCCATTTCGAATTTCAAATACCAACTTTGAAACAATTCCTGTGAATAATGTCGCTAAAATCATCAAAATACCGAATATCGAGGGGTACCGTTATATGGGGGCTATATGAAAACGTGGACCTACATGGCCCATCAACGAACTTAACCTGCCTACTGGCAAAATAAAAATGTGTGCAAAATTTTAGCCTTCTATCTCAATTTGTTTGAAAGATAGCGTGATTACAACAGACAGACGGACAGACAGACAGACACACAGACAGACAGACGGACATGGCTAAATCGTCTTAGAATTTTAGGCTGATGAAGAATATATAAATTAATTCAATGTTAATTTATTTATTTTTTTTAAAAATTTGTGATTGCTGCTTACTGCAAGCAATCACGTCTTTATTGGTTAAGGTTCCGGACTACAAAGTAAAGTAATGAAATAAAACTACCCTAACTTATACTTTGGATTCATGCACCCAGATGATACTGGACACCTGCTCGTGTTGGCGATGGAATGTTGCTGTCTGCCTGTTGGATGTTGTTGTCAGTGTTTCGGTGGGAACTGCAGTGTCAGCAAAATGACACGCTTATACTTTGGTTGATGAATTCTTTGGGTTGCTAATGTTGAATTTGAATATGTCTGGTGTTAACTCCTCCCCTCTTAAATACAATCGTCCCGATTGTTCAAAATGAATGAATATTGTAAATGCTGGATGTTTTAGTTTCTTTCGAAGTTGTAGGTAAATTTACTTCCGCAATCTCTATTTCATCTCCTGGGGCATCTTCGATTTTCAGATTATTATTTTCGGAGTTTTTTGCATATTTTCTTCTCAGTGATATTATTGTTATAGTTGTAAGGATTATTGCAGAAACACAACCGATGCCGACTGCTAAGGTACCTTTGGTTTCCATAGATCGTATTCGTTCGATGTTCTTTACGTTCAACTGTTTAAGCAGCTCCAATGATATTACTTCTTCTAATTTGTCTTTTGGACCTTTTGGTTGCAAAAAGGCGGGAA